TACAATGTGATGCTTTTCTACACATACATATTGTGAAATGATTTCCACAATCAAGCTAATTAACCTATCTATCACCTCACATAGTTCTTTTCTGGGGGTTGAGAACACTTAAGATCTACTTAAAAAAAAAAAGCAAATTTCAAGTATAAAATACAGTGCTATTAATGATAGTTACCATGCAGTATGGTAGTTCCCAGAACTCAAAGTTTCAGTGTGTAACTAAACTTTGTATTCCCAATTCCCCACCTCCTTGGCAACCACTGTTTTATTCAACCGCTGGTTCTTAGTTCAGCTATCTTAGCTTCCACATGTGAGTGAGATCATGCAGTGTTTGTCTTTCTGTGTCTGGCATCTGACTTATTTCATTTACTATAATGTCCTCCAGGTTCACTCATGTCATGAGAAATGGCAGAATTTTTTTTCTTTATAAAGGCTAAAAAATATTGCATTATATAAAAATAGCAGTCATGCCCTCTGGTTTCGACTGAGTAGATGGGTCTCAGAGATCAGGAGATCAAGCTTTGCTGGACCAGGATCAGCTCACTCACAGAGCCAGTGCCTCAAAAGAGATCAATATACTTATTGGTATTTGCATTCTGAGTGTGTTTTTGAATGCCTGTCAGCCAAGCTTGAAAACAAATATATTCTGAGCTATATCAGTAGAATTTTAAATTAGTCTGAATTATTTAAATTATTGTAATACAGTTAAAAGGCCTGAAAAAGGTTTTTACTACATAATAAATAATCATTCTCATAATAAGGCCACTCATGCAAAAATTCATCCACTAAAAATGTATATGAATCAAAGTTTCAGTTCTAAAATATAACCAATTCATATCAAAGTCTTCTTTTAAAAAGGTCAACTTCAGCTAAAGGGGTAAGAAGAAATAATTTACATGTAGATTTTCATTTAGTGCTGTGAGTATATTTTTTAAGTGGCTCAAGGTTTGCAATGTCAACAGCCACTTATACTAGAAGAGGACTCAGGTACTGTACCAACATGTACTTTTATACTGTGACTCTTGGATAGCAAAAGAATAGGAACTTCCTTCTCCACTCCCCTGTATTGTTCATTAAAAGACTGTGAAAAGCTTTTTCAATGCAAAGCTGGTTTCAAACTAAGATTTAGAATCTTAACTGGAATGATTACTCCATTTTTGTTCACTTCTATAAATGTAAACTTGATGCCTCTTTTCACCCAGCTTAGTTCCAAAATCAGAATCTATCTGATGCCACATAAGGGAAAGTGCTTGCCAGGAGAGTTCTTATAATTGCTTTAAAATGTAGTGGTTGGAGGATGAACAGAATACCAGCCACTTAATACTCATCTAGCACACAAGTCTACACTCTGTGCTGAAATTCAAGGCTGTTCAGCTGGTACTTTTAACTGTCAGGTGAGATAGGAAAATTTTTCCATTTTTAAATCTTTTAATCAAATTTATTTTATTTATATAAAAGTATTTTATATTGTACATTTATAATAAATAATATATGTAATACATATTAAGGGCTATATTTATAATAATTTAAAATATAAACCTATGCATGGCTGTAAGGGAATGATGGGGAGGATGCAGCGTGATGTAGACAGTGGTTTCCATGTCTGTCTGGTACCAGAATTGCTAGCTATCCCTGGAAGATACTGCATGTATTGACCCACCCTGAGAAACAGAATCAGAGTGTAGGATGATTCTTCATAACTCATGCTGGACTGAAGTTTATATTTTATTTTTCCTAGTGACATTATTTTATTAACCACTGACTTGTGCATATAAAAGTCCTTTTATCAACATAGGGTTGAAGGTCTGAAATCTGAGATTTCCTTTCAAACTCCCCTGATCTTTTCTATAAGCAAATATTTCCTTGTGTTTTGACTGTCTTTGACAAATTTATCGATTGGTATGTTCAGATTGAATTTATGTTGACATTTAAAAATGTTATTTCATAATTCTTATAGCACATTTACACAAGAAGAAATTTGCTTCCATATTTACACTAGGAAGAGATGCACGTCAAAATTTATCAATATTTCTTTTCATTCAAATAATTTAAATAACAATTATTAGAGTTAATTTTTGAAATATGAAACAGAATATTTTTACTTATATTATTTGATAGCTTATTTCATGAACAATTAGTTTTTTCTCTGCTTTGTAAAAAAGTTCTTTTGGCCCTGGCTGGTGTAGCTCAGTGGACTGAGTGCAGGCCTGTGAACCAGAGGATTGTGGTTCGATTCCCAGTCAGGGCACATGCCTAGGTTGCAAGCCAGTTCCCAGCAGGGGACCCATGAGAGGCAACCATACATTGATATTTCTCTCCTTCCCTTCTCCTCTAAAGATAAATAAATAAAATCTTTTAAAAAACAACAACAAAAAAACTGTTTTTGGTTTCCACAAGTAAGTCAAAGCATGGCCTGCAGAAGCGTGGAGTTTTATTTTTAGACTGACTTTTTAGAGCATAACACAAGAATACAGCTCTAGAACAATAATAATAGCTAACATTTATGAATAATTCCTATGTGTCAAGAGCAGTGCTAAATACTTGATCTGAATTTTGTTATTAATCTCCACTTCACAAATAAGGACCAGAAGCTTGGGAGTTTAAGTAACTGCCTAAACTCACACAGCTAGTTTGTAAGGGTCAGAGCCTATGAGGGTGAGAGACATTTTTAAAAGTACATATTAACCAGTTTTTAAGGTACTAGCAGGCAATGGGCTGCAGTGTGAAATATTTAGCACTGAATTTTTCATTAATATATATTTTTTATTCAACATAGGATTAAAATAATCTACAGGAGGTGTGAAAAGTCCTAGAAGAACCCAATATTATATACTCACATGCCCACTGATATTATAGACTATACACCATGCATTTATCCCCTTTGACAAGCAACTAAATAAAAGTCACAACTTTGAATAATGGTTCTGACAGTAGATTACATATTTCCTGGTAGGATATTGTGTGTCTCTTATGGTTACCAGTACCCTGTTCTCCTACTGAAAAGGGTCATGAGAAAGATTCATAAATACTTTTGGACAATTTTATTTAAAATCATTTACTTGAAGGGGAATAAAGAAATTTCCCTATGACATAAAATGTCCAGTCAACAGAAATCTTTGGGTGAAATATCCAGTCAGCAAAAATCTTTGGATAAAATCTTTGGTTTCATCCCAGTTTACTTTTAAGTTCTATCTATGTTCAATATCTAAATCATAACTAAGTCATACCTAGGTCATATCTAAGTCATATCATCTTCTGCCAAGTATGTTTTCCCATTTTGAGTATTTGCTGAGTTATAAATTATTCTTCTTTGGAAACTTTTTTCTCAGGGCTCTACTATTGAGTTCTAAATCCCGATAAGTTTAAAACAAAGATTAATGAGGGTATGCAATAAAAAATGACTTCAGAGTAGTTGGAGGACAGGGAATGCCTCTGAGAAACCATACTAGGTGAGGCATAAAATGAAGCTATTTCAGCCCCCTTAATTGGAGGGCAGGACATGCATGCATTCCAAATAAAATATTTCCTCCATGGATGGAACTGGAGCACATTATGCTAAGTGAAATAAGCCAGGCAGTGAAAGAGAAATGCCATATGATCTCACCTTTAAGTGGAAACTAATCAATAAAACAAACAAACAAGCAAAATATAATCAGAGACATTGAAATAAAGAACAATTTGACAATAATCAGGGGGGGTGGAAGGATAACGGGAGGGGGGAAGGGTTTTCAGGAACAACTCTAGAGGACACATGGACAAAACCAAGGTGGGGTGGAATCAGGGGAAGGAGGTGGGGATGGCTGGGGTTGGGTGAGAGTGGTGGGTTGTGGAGGCACACAACCGTACTTGAACAACAATAAAAAAAAAGATTTCTTCAGGCTGAAAGATTTTTAACAATAGCATTGGATGACCAATGAAAGAAACATGCTCTAATAATTTCTTTGGACCAGATCAACTTGACCTTCCACTCTTCATGAACTCCAATAAATTATTTGCTCCATTTCCCCCCAGTATTCCAAACAATTATTTTGATTCCTGTGATTGCAATGGCTTCCTAAGATTCTTTTATGAGGAGTAGGAGAAGGCAGGGAACCATGTGCTCAATGTGTGGCAGAAATATTCAAAGGCCACAAACAAAGTCATAAAAAAATTAATGTGCTCGTTTAAAAATCTAACCCCATCCATGTTTTTGGTTATTGAGCATGAGTACAGTGACCACCTAGATGTCATTTTAAAAAATAAAATACCACACAACTTCTTCAAAGTCAGACATTACATGGTCCAACATTTTCTGAAACTTTTACAACATCGACCGTAATACTGAGCGTGCAGAAGTCCTTTAACTGGACATTATAATATACTCAAAGGATTATTGGATAGAGCTGTTAAAAAAAACTTTGCTCATTCTTAACTAGTTCTAAATGCCTGAAAACTGTACATGTGTTCTTTTCAACAATATATTATTATTAGATCATGTATTGTGACTTGGGATGATACCATCACCCCTGTGTTCAGACAGGCTGTCATGGTGAGTAGAGTAGAGAAATAAAGATGAAATGAGAAAAGAGAGAACAGCTAGAGATTTTGGGAGTAGATTTAGAGAAAACAGGGAAAGAAACACTGAAAGAAAACTGCAAAGATAAGTCGACAGATTAGGAAACAGTGAAGGTGTAGTTGAGAGGAATTTTTAGAGCCAACCTGAGCATGTTTATATGATGAGAATATAGATAATTACTGTCAATGCTGTTTGTTGCATATTGAGGATACACAATTTTTATACATTCATTAGCTAAATTTTTGAGGTCACAAAACAGGTCAGATTACATGTTACTTAAGTCTTTATAAAATGCAGATTAGCTAAATGGTGATGCATTCAATGATATATTATGAATCTGAATATGGGATTAAATGATTGAAATACCATATCAATAAACCTTGTTAATTTGAATTAAAAATTAATTTAAAAAATTGAGATTTAAAATATTTAGACATATACTCACCCAACAGATAGGAAAGGCCCCTTTGACTCAAGTCTGTGAAAACATATTTAAAAAATATTTTAATATAACAATATGCTATGCACTTAAAATTGCTTTTGCATAAATCTGACAGAATTATTATACTTGTTGATACAAAAATACATAATTTAGCACCAGTCAAAAGCTATCAATAATAATTAAGACCTAATCTAGACTAATTCAGACTCTAGATGGATTAATAGTGAGGCTAAAAAGAATGAGAGAAATTTAGTATAGGATGTAGCATTTGAAGGCTGCATTAGGATATTAGTCTAATTCTGATTTGTACCTTCAAAGAAGCAGCTCTTGGATTCATTGATCTTTTGTATAACTTTTTAAAACCCTATATCTTTTATTTTTGTCCTGATCTCTATTATTTCATTTCAACTACTCACTTTGAACTTTGTTGTTCTTTTTGAAGTCTCTATAAGTGTAAAGTTAGATTGTTTATTTGAGCTTTCTCTTGGTTTATTTTTTATAGGTCTATAATGCTTCAAATTTCCCTCTAGCAGTGCTATTCCTATGTCCCACAGGTTTTGGGTTGTTGTTTCATTTGTTTCAAAGTATTTTTTTTTTATTTCTTCCTTGAGCTCATTGTTGTCCATTCATTGTGTAATAATATGTTATTTAGCTTCAATGTCTTGTATTTTTCAGTGCCCTTGTGATTGATTTTTAGTTTCATAGCATTGTGTTCAGAGAATATGCTTAATAGTTTCAGTCTTCTTAAATTTATTGAGACTTGTTTTGCATCCTAACATGTGGTCCATCCTAGAAAACATTCCATGTGGACTTGAAAATTATGTATATTCTGCTACTTTGGGGTGAAATGCTCTGAAGATAACAATTAAATCCATTTGATCTTGTTGGAAACTGCTCTGCCTAGTTTCAGGAGTTGTAACTGCCCCCCATGGCTAAGACTGAGTGAGCGACCTCCAGAATGAGAGCCACTAAGGAGACATAGCTTGTCTCTGGTAGCAAACACTGCTTCTGCATCACCCTCCTGCCCCCAATACATGATCGGATAGTCAGAGATGGGTAAGACTCCTCAAAGGGGGGCAACCTAAGCCAGACAAAATCACTTGGGAGGCCATCATAGAAGGACTCAGGGGACTTCAACAAAGAGGGAGTGATGGACCCTTGCCCCCTGGCTATTCTGACATAGCCTGAGTCCCCATGTTTTCTGGGAGAAGCGCTAATTTCCATCCACTTAAGCATGCTGTTCATGGCGATGGCTTGTAGCCTCTGGATCAAAGCCCATCCTGGATCATCAGGTCTCTGTTCCGGCATCGGATGTGGGGGCAACTTTGCCCGCAAAGTATCCCCATCCACCATGATGAAAATGAAACTACCAAGACAAGATGGGCTCAGGGAGGAAAGGTAGCTAATCTCTTAGAGGAGAAAGGCTAAGAGCCCCTTCCTCAAGGGGCTTTTATTGGGTTCATTTGCACAAGAATACAGGTAAGGATCAAACAATAGATAGCATTCAAACAATTATGAGGGCTTATTCTCAGTCAGGGTCAGATAGCTAACGGGCCATAAAACTTTGAAGAACAAAATTCTTGCTTGGACCCCCATCATTTAAATGAGAGCATTCCAAACAAAGCAGGTTTCACAGGATTTTACATATTCTTTCTTAGGCCTGATAACCTCAGATCCCACTCTAGCTGGCAAAGGGCTGCACCGCCTTCCCCATCATAGGTTTTCAGGCTTAAGTAGATTAGAGCCAGGAAGGGCTTATGCCAGAGGACATGGGGACTTGGGCTATGTCAGAATAGCCAGAGGGTGAGGGTCCATTACTCCCTCTTTGTGCAGTCCCCCGAGTTTTTCCATGATGGCCTCCCAAATGATCGATCCTGTTTGGCTTAGGTTGCCCCTCCTATGAGGAGTCTTACCCATCATAGACTATCTGACCATACATTGGGGGCAGGGGGATGAAGCAGTGTTTGCTACCAGAGACAAGCTTTGTCTCCTTAGTGGATTGCGTTCTGGAGGTCCCTCACTCAGTCTTAGCCATGGGGGGCAGTTACAACTCCTGAAACCAGGCAGAGTGGTTCCCAACATGATCTAGTGTGTCATTTAAGGCCCCTGTCTCCTTGTTGAATTTCTGTCTGGAAGATCTATCCATTGAAGTCACTGGGGTTTTAAAATTCCTTACTATCATTATATTTCTGTTGATCTCTACCTTTATGTCCATCAAGATTTACTTTACATACTTAGGTGCTCCTATGTTGGGTCCACAAATGTTGAATTCTTCCTTTGATCATTATGTAGTGTCCTTCTTTGTCTCTTAGTATAGCCTTGGTTTTAAAGTTTATTTTGTTGAATAAAAATATTGCTACCCAAGTTTTTTTCCATTTGCATGAAATATCATCCATCTTAGTTGGGTCTCTGTGGATTTTATTTTCTTATCATTTCAGCTACCCCATGTCTTTTTGTAGGAGCATTTAACAGTTAAAGTGATTATTGATAGGTATGCATTTATTGCCATTTTGTATTTTAACTATTTTCCTATGTTTCCTTTTCTTCTCCTTCTCCTCCTTCTTCTTCCTCTTCTTAAAGCAGAGATATCAAACTCATTTTCACAGGGGGCCATATCAGCCTCATATTTGACTTCAAATGGCTGAAATAATTTTAGAGTGTATAAATGTAACCACTACTTAACTTTTAAGGAGTTGAAATTACATTTGGTTCTTTGAAGGCAACCATGAGGCTAATGTGGCCCCCAGTGAAAATGAGTTAGCCATTTTAAAGCAAACTTTAAAGCAAACCTTTAAGACAGAAAATTCTGTCTTAAAGCAAACCTTTTAACATTTGCAGCAGCACTGGTTTGGTGTTAAAAAAACTCTTTTAGCTTTTTCGTGTCTGAGAAGCTCTATTTCTACTTCAATTGTACCTTGAATATTTCATGCCAGTCTCTTCTGGCCTGAAATGTTTTTGTTGAGAAACAAAACGACAGTTTAATTTGAGCTTCTATGTAGGTAACTATCTAGTTTTCTATTTCTGCTTTTAGGATTTTCTCCTTGTTTTCTAGCTTTGCCAATTTATTTATGATGTGTCTTGGTGTAGGCCTCTTTGGGTTTATCTTGTTTGGTACTCTCTGAGCTTCTTGGACTTGTGTGTCTTGTTCCTTCACCAGATTAGGGAAGTTTTCAGTTATTATTTCTTCAAATAGGTTCTTGGTTCTTTGCTTATTCTCTTCTTCATCTGATAATCTTGTGATGGGGATGTTGTTACACTTCATGTTCTCCCAAAGCTTTCTTAAGCTCTTCTCCTTGTTTTATAATTCTTTGTTCTTTTTGTTGCCCTGGTTGGGTGTTTTTCCACCTTTTCTTCCAAATCACTGATTCAGTCCTCTGCTTTAGATATTGCACTCTTTATTTATGATTGTTTTTTAATTGTTTCTGTCTTTTTTCAGTATACTTAGTCATTACTCAGTTATATATAAGATGAATTTCTTGCCTCCATTTCATTTGGTTCTTCTCCTGGGGAAGTCTTTTATTTTTTCATTTGTGGCTATTTCTTTATCTTTCCATATTGACTGTATCTTTGTACTTGTTTCTATGGGTTAGGTACATCTGCAAAGACTCTACTGTAGTCCTACAACAGATGCTGCCTGTGACTGGCACTGGGCAACCTGTTTGGAGCTATCAGCCATCCAAAACTTGTGGCTCCCTCTGCTGGGCCTTCATGTATGCAGAAAGGACCAGGCTGTGCACCAATACCACCTTTTACCAGCACTAGGCCTGGGGGAGGGTCAGGTAAAGTCTCAGAGCTCCCAAGGATCTGCCTTTGCTCCTGGACTTAATCATTGACCTAGTCACCAGGTATACTCAGCAGCTTGGCTGAAGGTCCACAAGGTGGGACAAGAGAAATTTCTGTGGGTGGAGATATTGCTTCCCCTCAGGCTGATGCCACTTAGAAGGGAGTTCTCTGTCTGAAAAAGATGGTTTCTGCAATATGGGAAATGACTCAGCACAGGGATCCTACCTAGTAGCTATTTCTTCAGTTCTCTTTCCAGAGCCACCAAAACCAGACTTTCCTCATGCATCTCTAGTCCACACAACCCTCCCTCTGGTGGAGACCAGGTTAAGTGGCTGCAAATGAGACTTTGTGCATTGGTCCTTTAGGAGGCTTTCTGTATCTCCTTTTCTTCCTGGCAGGCAGAAACTCCTTTTCACAACTGGATATTATTAGTGTTCCTTTCCCACTTCTGGTGCTATACGCTGGAGAGCTCAGCTTGGGGTTTAGACCCCACACTTCTGAGGGGCACCCTGCCCACAGCCACTAAAATATTCCTCTGGCACTTTATCTGCCACCTGTAGGAACCTAGCCAGTCCTCTCATACCTCCTCTGTACTCCCTACCACCTCGCTGTGGTGAAGTGGTTTCTTCCCTCTGTTCTTGGTTATAAGGCTTCTATCCAGCTACTCTTTAGTTGGTTATTCAGGATGATTTTTCTATAATTTAGTTTAATTCTAGTTTGGTCCTGGGAGGAGATCAGTGTAACTTTCAATTACTTCTCTACCATCTCAACATCCTCCACACTCTATTTTCTTATTTTCTGTTTTACAGTGTTTTTTTGTAGAAGTTTTTATGTAATTTTTAATTACAAAAATTATTGGCATATTAGAGTGTACAATGCAGTTGGCTATATATTGATTGAATAATTTATTTCCAGTAAGTCTTCCAGCAAGATCTAAACATCATGACACTCCTGGTCACTTAGTGGCAGAAATACCACACAGGGCAGGAGGAGTCAGGTCACAGATGAGGGTCTTCTTGCCTCCTTGTGTCTCCTAAGAACCAGGTATTTTTTGTAGCTCCCATATATTAAGGGAGAATATAATTCTGAAGTCTGTGTTTGGTTGTGGCATCTTGAGCAAGCCACTTAATAAATATTCTAGGGCTTACTTTTCTCACTATAAAGTAGTTTGGACTGCATCCAGTGAGTTTTCTTTTTCATAAATTAACTGTATACTCTTTGAAAAGGTAAATCGATCAGAAAAGTATTTCCTT